TTCTTCCTCACGGTGAACTGGCCCAGCCGCTACGTCATCACCCGACTGGTGAAACTGTACAGTCGTCCCTGACGTCACTGCCCAGGCTTCACTCTTGCTAAGCACCTGTCACTGGAGCACTTGTTGCTCGTTTCCCTTCAATTCCTTCTTCTGTCCGCCTCACGGAGTTCAGAAAGACCTCACAGGATGCTCGCAGACCACTGGTGATGCATATATTCACCAGAGAGGGGCGAATATTGTCAGACTGACAGGACCCCCTTATCGCACGTCCGCCCTTGACGACGTGTCGTATCTAACTCCTGGCGCCACGGGGGCGCACGGCCCGGACCTACCTCCACCCGTGACGTCACACATGCCAGGGGCGTTTCTCATTGGCTCCCTGTACCATGTCACTGTTCTTGGCCAATCTGGTGCCACTGATGTCATAACATTTTGGCGCGATAACGTAGGAGTCGGCGCCATCTTGGCGTCCAAAAGGGCCTAAGCCACTGGCCAAAACACTCTTCTTTAGTTAATTTCTCTCATATGCGAGAACACCTCATACTCCCACATATGTCAAATTGTTCTCTGGAAGGCAGAGAACGTTCGGGTAAAGTAGATATGACTTTTACAGCTGGCGTGGGAGAAATATTAGGGAGGGAACACCGTCACACTACTCTGCTTCGTTTGGCCAATATTCAGAGAGTAGGCAACAATCTTTATATTGAAGATTTAGCGCTGGCTTATCGAGCTCTACTGTCTCCTAATTACGTCGAATTTTCTTATAAAATTAGTATATTTCGAAGTAAAACTATTTTTTTTTACCTTCTACAGCCAGCACCGACAATGTAGTAAAAAAATGTTACTTTTGTTGTTTACCTAAGTAATTCTAAGAGATACTGTGAAGCTGTCCTTGTTGCTCGGAAGGTGCGCTGACAATTATTGTATATATTTACTGAATTTACCCAAGGGCCACTAACTATCTAGTGGCTTCGACGAGGACAGAAAGCCGGCGGCTTGTTAAAGGGACCGCCAATTGTCTTAATGATATTTTTTAGCTGGAATTTGTCTTTTACAGCTTCAGCGGGTAGTCGGTTCCATGGGTTTATTAGTGGAAAAAAACATCTGTTTTCAGTTCTACTTGAGAGAACATACTCTCCAACACTATATCTGTGATTGCCCTGTTATCAGTGACTTCATACCAAATGGTATGAGGTACTTTGAGCTCTGTAATTACTTCATACACTCAGGAATATTGGAAGATATTCTTGTGCTGCACCCAGATTTTGCCAGTGGAGGCTAATAGATCAGCCTTAAGTATTTTGTTCTCTCCTGATTCCATGTATAACTGGCCATCCTGAGAGGTGAGGATGTTGGATGAGCTTGTAGCTGGTTTTTGATCTACACTGTGTGGTCCTTCATACAGAATAGGGAAGCAGTACATTGTTGTGTATTCCTAAGCATGATAATTAATTCATTGTTTGAGAGGAGTCTTGTAGAAACTGGTTGGAGTAATTATAATATAATATTTCCATGCTTCAGTGCTTACCTCCTGTGAAAATCGTGAAGTGTTGTTTAGTCAGAGTTGATTTTTTTTTTTTTTGTATTGAGGCTGGAATTTTCTACCTTGATTCCATGTATGTCTAACTATCCTATGAAATGAGCGTATTGGATAAACTTATAGCCAGTTTTTTAACTACGCTGTATAATATTCCATATAGAATAGGGTAGCAGCACATTGCTGTGTATAATACCTAAGCTTCATAATAAAAAAATCAGGAATAAAGATTTTTAATTATAGTTTGTATTATTAAAAGTACCGTATTATCCTAATTAAATCATGTTAACCATGGATCATTTATATCTCATGTTGATATGTAAGTCATATTTCTTTTGAACTGCTAATCATTTTTTAGTCATTCATTAAATTGTGCATTATGTCTCAATTTTTCATTCGTTGGATATACTGTACAGTACAGATAAAAATAAACCAGTAATATTTATTTCATTACATTTTATATTTAAATAACTGCATCAATATTTTTACAGCTGACAGGATTTGTTTTATCATACAGGTCCATTATTTGTTAAAAAAATTGTTTTATTGTTACACATAATGGTGCTACATAGCCTTCCCAGCTTGGTGCCTTCTTTTAATACTTACTGATTAAAAAATAAATAATAAATACATTTTATTCAGGAAAAGTACATACAGTTGATTCTCAAACATAATATTGGATTTATAGACAGAGCTAGAACATACAATACTTAAAGCCACTAATACTCATAGCATTTCGGGCAAGGTGAAGCATAAAACACTTAGACTAAAACTTAATAGTAATCGGGATTAGGTATAAATTGTGTTGAAAGAAGGAATAAAAAATACAAAAAGGGGGGTTAACATAGCATAAATCAGCAATTGCACATGTTGGTGAACAGTGTTGTTTAAAAAATAGCAAGACATGGGTTGACATTTAAGAGGTAAATTAGGTTACATGGAGTTAATTAGGCAGTATTTGGTTTAACTCTTAAACTGGTTGAGAGAGGTACAGCCTTTGACATGATTCGGGAGGTCATTCCACATTCTTGGTCCCTTGATTTGTAGAGCACTTCTAGTTTGGTTACACACAGCCAAATTGTGTAACAGGCAGAGGTCTTGGACACAAATTTGTTCCATGCTAAATGTAAAGGAATCAGCTGAGTATTCCTCAAATAAAATAAGCTGCCTGAGCTTATAAGGTAAATAAAATAAGCATTCCTCAAATAAGTAGCTATCTAACCTCACTGTTTTACTGCTACATAACCTTCCCAGTGTTACTTATCGTTCGTTACGGCTCGGGACCCTACAACAGCCAACTTTAAAAAAGGTCTAGGGTTACTAAAACTGCTGTTCACAAGAGCGGGTCACCAGTGTAACCCCTTAATAAGTAATGAGCACTTTGTTAAAATTTTCCTTTAGGACTGAAGGAATACATATAAAATTTATATATATATATATATATATTCAACATAAATCTCAATAGCATTTATAAGTACAGATGGTTACTTTATCACAAATATATCAAATTAAAATATTACTGTCTCTCCCAGAAATTAATATAATATTATTATATGTATGGTTATGACAGAACAATAATGTACAACTAAACTCCACAAGATGTTAACTCTCCGGTTCCGTTACAGCTACTGACCTACATATCAGTGGGAGTCAAAATCATTGCTTCTGCCCCGCGAAAATTTGCCAAAGTTACAATATTTATTAATTCTACAATGGAGCAATACATTGTGACAAGAGTAATCTTAAACTAACTTAATGAATGGTCAATACATATTGGTATAACAAAAATAATGTAATTATTGTTTTACATAGTAATTAAAATACACATACAAAGGAGAATGATGGCATGCTCATCCAGCAACGGACTATCCCACGACAATTTGCCAGATAAGGCTCACATAATTATTATTCACCTATGTTACCCACATATGATCACATATAAATCATTAGTTCCCATGGGAAACTGAATACACAAAGAAATAAAACAATCATTCCCACGATACGTTGGGCCTAACGCCAACAATGTAACATGAAATTATTTTACATAGAACATATAAGTATATCAATATTCATACATGTAATTTATACACAATTATAAATGTACATATTAATTTATTTAATTACGTATCTTATAGAGGTACGTAACACCCGGCATAGTGCCTTCATTTGATAATTACTTGTTCCACACCCAAGATGTGTAACAGAAAGAGGTCTTGGACCCCTACTTCACTCTCTCTTTTTTAATAGTCCATATAGTTATAATTATAGCTTTAAATATTCAATAAATAAAGTTTTTGACGTTTTTACCCTTCTCCTTACCTAACATCATTTGTGCAGCATATTTTAATTTTATGTCTCACCCAGATTCAATTTCAAAATAAAACCAAACTAATAAATTAGAAATGGGTATGTATAGCTAAGGTACATCCTTACTACTAGGTGAACAGGGTGATAGTAAATGATCCCATCAGGCAAGACTCATCACCTTCTCTCATATTTCATGTTCACCAGTGTTTATTTACTTAATAACTACTTGTATAATATCTTGCTATTATAAAACTAATTCTAATATCATAAAAGACATATTTACTTCAAGTTTCAAGCAGAGAATGCATATATAACAAACACGAAGGACTCCTCTTCACGAGATTCACCAGCTATAATCTTTTGTTTACTTTCCAAAATCTTAAAATCGATCCTCCATGTTGTGTAGCAGAGAAAGGGACACTTAGATGACGGACTAAACGGACGAATGTTTTTCTTCTTAGTGTACCTATTTGAATACCGATGTAGCCGCCGCGAAGACGCTAAGAAGAAAAGCATTCGTAGCTAAGAAGAAAAACATTCGTAAGTACTTTCGTGAATCTGGCCCCAGGAGAGGACGGGTGATTAAGATAGTAGATGTAGGAGAGGACGTAGTCCTCTACCCAGCCAGGCAGAACTGACCCTATATATATCTCGGAAGACAAACTGGCACAAAAGCGGAGTAACAACGAACAGAATAGCAATATACGGAATTTAGAAGCTATTACTAAGCCAAATAGGAACAACGAAAGACATTTAAATTGCTTCTACACTAATGACAGAAGCCTGGTGAATAAATTTGATACATTGTGTACATACGCTGAGAACGATAATTTTAATATCACTGGCATCAGTGAAACATGGGGACGTGAGGAAATTATTGAAGGGGAATTCCTCCTCCCAGGGTATCATCTACCGTTCAGAAAGTACTGAACAACAGGAGCAAGTGGTGCTTCATGTGAAAAAGGATCTGAATGCAACAACAAATGAGGAACTGAACACCATGGGATCCTCAGAGACAGTATGATGCAACATACAAGCTCAAGACGGTAACATACTGACAGTGGAAGTATTCTACAGGGCTGACACAGGAACAGCAGAGTAAGTTACAGATTTGCAATATATGATCAATGTTGCATCCCAACCCAAAATCTTTATAATGGGCGACATTAACCACGAGACAATAGATTGGGTAAATCTGACATCACAAGAAGAAGGAGATCAGTTTCTAGACCTGGTGCAGGACTTCTTTCTCATACAATATGTGGTAGAGCCCACTCGAGGTAACAGCATTCTGGACTTTGTGCTAACATCAGAAGAGAGCATGATCGATCAAATTAAAGTTGGAGAAAAGCTCACCCTTATCGGGTGATCACAATATTGTAAGATGGAATACGATTACAGAAACTCACGTAAAGTTCCAGGATGATGACCTTCTAGAATACCATCGAGGAGACTATCGTAAAGGTAAATCCAGTGACGTAAAGGAATTGGCAGATGCATTATGCGTACAACTGAAATTCCTTTTCAGAAAAACCCTGGACCAAGGGATATTTCCCCTAGGTTGGAAATATACAAATGTTACCCCAGATTTTTACAAAAGGCAGAAAGAGCTCGGCAAAAAACTACCGTCTGATCAGCTTGACATCACACATCTGCAAACTCACGGAGAGAATCTTAGGGGAAAGAATCATCTAACATCTCAGGAGTGGGGAATTGACTTGTGAGATTTAAATTTATTGGATTTATATTAATTTATATAGCAATTTATATTTTACGTTAATTTATATTTTTCGTTGGGGGACTGTATGAGATTTAAAGTGGACTGTATAAGATTTAAAGTGGACTGTATAAGATTTAAAGTGGACTGTATAAGATTTAAAGTGGACTGTATGGTTTAAAATGTCTCACAAATCGCTTCCTTACACTTTCCGGGGGTTAATGGTTGATATGTAGTCTAGCAATCAAATTATTGATTGGTAGACATTCACTACAATATTACCAGGAGTTAAACCAAAACTAAAATGCATTAGACAATACTTGGGAATCCTTATCTGATAAGAAGGCTTCAGTTTAATAGTGTAGAGTAAGTGGGTAGCCTGCCAGTCACGTGGTCTCACTCTTTGAGTGGTTCCACATTAAGTACTTCACTTCTCAATTTACCTGTCAACGAGATTGCACAGTAATATTTGCTGCACATAAATAATTATGTTAACAGATATATTATAATATTCTGAAATAAAGGGATGAGAATATTGCTTTCTTTGGTGTTTTGTTTATATGTGGCATAACCATAGCAGTAAATTACACAATGAAATTAGAGCTCTACAAATCATCTTGTATACTGCACGGATATAATGCCTTTCCTGGATACGACGGAGTCAATATTTGCTAGCTAACTCTTCGATATTAACTTGTATGGTACAAATAATCGAGATGACAGCATGACAAGTCTGAACTGTCCGAGGTAAAAATGGCTACTGCCTGAGGCCTCCCTCTCAGTGTCCTTATACCTTACTCTCCAGATGCGTTAAGAAGTGGTAGAAGACCCTCATTTACTCAACATAAGTACTGATCAAGTGAAATGTTTTTATGTTTTTTTATGGTCCAAAGACTGCTGTATTAAGAATAATCCCCAACAGAATTAGCTGGTTAATTTAATATCGACGTGGCAATGATATCCTGTTTTCTTCCAAGGGAAAATTCCACTGTGCCACATCCACTTTAAGTGATTAAAGCACTATTTTTTGGGTTAATTTGTTATTTACACAACATCAGCAATATTATCTGCATATTGTATTAAATGTTGGTACATGGTGTCGGTTTTTCCAACATCAGGGAACAATCTTGTAAAATCAACGCAACATGGGTTTGTTAAAAATAGATCATGCCTTACAAACCTGCTTACATTTCTGGAAACGGTAACCAGCTATTTAGACAAAGGACTTCCAGTAGATATAGTTTACATGGACTTTGCTAAAAGCTTTGACAAGGTACCACTTGAAAAAATAGCAAGGAAAAACAGGCACATGGAATAAATGGGAGAATACTGGAATGGATAAAACAAAGGTTAAAACAAAGAAAACAAAGGGTCGTGCTAAATGGGAATGAATCAGACTGAAGAAATGTGGTAAGTGGGGTGCCACAGGGGGTCCATTTTGGGGCAACACTTATTGTCTTATATATTAATGACATATATGAAAATATTACAAACCACATCATCAAATTTGCAAATGACACTAAGATCTATGGTAAAGTGGGAAGTGAAAATGACATTGAGACCTAACAAAGAGATCTGCATGAAATCCATAAATGGTCAGAAGACTGGCAAATGCTTTTTAATGTCGGTAAATGCAAGACCTTGCATGTGAGGCATAACAATCCATGTCATAACTACCAAATTTCCAGCACTACCTTACAACAGTTTGATGAAGAAAAGGACCTTGGAGTCAGAATCCATCATTCTCTAAAAACTGGACAACAAGAAATACAAAAACAAGTCAAACTCTGGAAATTTTAATCAATCATACTTTTACCTTTAAAGAAAACAAGGTAGTCATTCCACTGTATATGTCTCTGGTGCGGCCCCCACCTGGAGTATTGCATCCAGGCATGGAGACCGCATCTTCAGAAATAAATAACTGCACTTTTAAAGTTGCAACACCGGTAAACTAAAATAATTCCAGAGCTAAATCATCTCTCGTATCAGGAACGGTTGAGGGCCACAGGGCTAACAATACTGCAAACGAGGCATGATAGGGGGGGATCTCATCGAAACCTTTAAATTTGGAAGATATTGATCCGGTCAATTTCTTCGAAAGGTCAGATGTAACACGAACGAGGAGAAACGGTTTCAAGCTTAAGTTGCCACAATGCAGGATTGAGAACAGGAGATGCTTTTTCATCCATAGGGTTATTCACCCCATGGAACAGCATACCCGCCGAAGCCGTAAACGGCAAACCTCTCTTGGGTTTTAAAATACAACTGGAAAAGGTCACCCACTGGATGGGGGCTGTGTGCAGGACAAACATATCAATTATGACACTAGCTCTCCACATATGTTTGTTGCTTCATTTAGAAACTGTACTTGTGGTCGATCTCGAACCCATTTATGATGTGACGACTTATACTGAATTTTGTAAGTAGCTCATCAAGACTGAAACTTGCTTAGCTAAATTAACTGTGGAGTTCAGTCCCTGAGCCCATTATGTGCCTCTGTAATCCTTTCCATTACCGCCCACCCGATGGGTATGGGGTGCATAATAAATGAAATAAACTAACTAAAGATCCTCACGGCAAATAGGGAGACGTTTTACAAGCCGCCGGCTTCCTGTTCTCGGAGGCTACTAGTATTAGTGGCCTTCAGGTAAAGTCAGTTAAGTAGCATCTTATACCCATATGTTCCACAGTAACAACCTGTAGCCATATGTTCCTAAGTAACAGCTTGTAGCCATATGTTCCAACGTAACAGCTTGTACCCATAAGTTCCCTAGTAACAGCTTGTAGCCATATGTTCCACAGTAACATTTTGTAGCCATATGCTCAGTAGTAACACCTTGTAGCCATATGTTCCCTAGTAACAACTTGTAGCCATATATTCTATACTAACAACTTGTAGCCATATGTTCTGTAGTAACAACTTGTAGCCATATGTTCCCTAGTAACAGTTTGTAGCCGTATGTTCCCTAGTAACAGCTTGTAGCCATATGTTCTATAGTAACCACTTGTAGCCATATGTTCCACAGTAACAACTTGTAATTGTAGCCACATGTTCCCAAGTAACGGATTATAGCCATATCTTTCCTAGAAGCATCTAGTAGCCATAGCTTCCTTAGTAACAGCATGTAGCCATATCTTCCCCATTAAAATCTTATATGTGTATCCTCATCAGAAACAATTCGTAGCGATATCTTACAAAAAAGTCTACTCATATCTATATCCACCCTAGTAACGGCTACTAGTGGAATCCTCCCTATTACCCGCCTACAGGAGTATCCTTGCTAATAACAGATCATAGCAGAGCCCCAATTAGCAACAGCTCATAACGACATCGTCCTCTTGCAGGTAGGATGAAGACTAAAATAACTCATCGTTGCTATAGCTGCCAAGGTCGTGAGGAGCTTTACCCTTCCGTAATTATCGTGTAGTGTAATCACCTAAGTTGGTCTGGTCTTATTCAAACATATGTATATATTCTCATCGTCAGAAGAAATTTCAGCACCCCCTGATCTTAAAAAGAAAAGCTTGATCACATAATTTCCAGAGTATCATGATTTCTTTTAAAATTTGTTCATCTCTTCAAGAGACGCCGGTTGGATGAGAGGTGTTACTTCCAGGCCCCTGAAGGAGGAGGAGGAGGAGAGGCACGAGAGCGGGAGGACCTCCCTGGGTGAGGTGTCGGAAGCGGCGCTGAAGGCAGGCTCATGTGAAGGGCCTTCCTTATTGATGTCTGTGTTAAGGGGCAGGTCTCCTGGCGATTGGCCATCACCCTCCGCTGACTCCATCTCAAGTACTGAAATAATAAGGACAAGTTATCATTATATGTCTGTCATCACCACACAGTGTAATGTAACTGTCATCACCACACAGTGTAATATAACTGTCATCAGTACACAGTGTAATGTAACTGTCATCACCACACAGTGTAATGTAACTGTCATCACTACACAGTGTAATGTAACTGTCATCACTACACAGTGTAATGTAACTGTCATCACTACACAGTGTAATGTAACTGTCATCACTACACAGTGTAATGTAACTGTCATCACCACACAGTGTAATGTAACTGTCATCAGTACACAGTGTAATGTAACTGTCATCACCACACAGTGTAATGTAACTGTCATCAGTACACAGTGTAATGTAACTGTCATCACCACACAGTGTAATGTAACTGTCATCACTACACAGTGTAATGTAACTGTCATCACTACACAGTGTAATGTAACTGTCATCACCACACATTGTAATGTAACTGTCATCACTACACAGTGTAATGTAACTGTCATCAGTACACAGTGTAATGTAACTGTCATCACTACACAGTGTAATGTAACTGTCATCACTACACAGTGTAATGTAACTGTCATCAGTACACAGTGTAATATAACTGTCATCACTACACAGTGTAATGTAACTGTCATCACCACACAGTGTAATGTAACTGTCATCACCACACAGTGTAATGTAACTGTCATCACCACACAGTGTAATGTAACTGTCATCACCACACAGTGTAATGTAACTGTCATCACCACACAGTGTAATGTAACTGTCATCACTACACAGTGCAATGTAACTGTCATCAGTACACAGTGTAATATAACTGTCATCACTACACAGTGTAATGTAACTGTCATCACTACACAGTGTAATGTAACTGTCATCAGTACACAGTGTAATATAACTGTCATCACTACACAGTGTAATGTAACTGTCATCACCACACAGTGTAATGTAACTGTCATCACCACACAGTGTAATGTAACTGTCATCACCACACAGTGTAATGTAACTGTCATCACCACACATTGTAATGTAACTGTCATCACCACACAGTGTAATGTAACTGTCATCACCACACATTGTAATGTAACTGTCATCACCACACAGTGTAATGTAACTGTCATCACTACACAGTGTAATATAACTGTCATCACTACACAGTGTAATGTAACTGTCATCACCACACAGTGTAATGTAACTGTCATCACCACACATTGTAATGTAACTGTCATCACCACACAGTGTAATGTAACTGTCATCACTACACAGTGTAATGTAACTGTCATCACCACACTCAGTAATGTAACTGTCATCAGTACACAGTGCAATGTAACTGTCATCACCACAGTGTAAGGTAAAAGACATCACCACAGTGTAAGGTAAAAGACATCACCACAGTGTAAGGTAAAAGACATCACCACACAGTGTAATGTAACTGCCATCACCACACTGTGTAATGTAACTGTCATCACCACACTGTGTAATGTAACTGTCATCAGTACACAGTGTAATGTAACTGCCATCACCACAGTGTAAGGTAAAAGACATCACCACAGCGTTATGTAAAAGACATCACCACACAGTGTAATGTAGCTGCCATCACCACAGTGTAAGGTAAAAGACATCACCACAGTGTAATGTGAAGAAAGATCTACAAATATACATTAGAAAGTGAAGCGACGACGACGCTTCGGTCCGTCCTGGACCATTCTCAAGTCGATTGTGATGAGGGAAGGAGGCGAAGGAAATAAATAGGCAAAAGAGAGAGGTGAGGAGAAGAAAATCTTAGAGGAAGAAAAATCAAGGCAAAAGGTACGGAAGGTAAGGTGTAATAAAGGGGGATAGGAATAGGAATTAGAAAGAAATCGAAAGAGAAAACAAAAGAAAGAAAAAGAAAGAAAGAAAGATAAATGGAATAGTAAGCGTATTTTAGGTCACGTTTGTTAGAAAGTTTGGAACATGTTCTAAACTTTCTAACAGAGGTGACCTAACATAAGCTTACCCTAGAGGTAAGTTGACCAGACCACACACTAGAAGGTGAAGGGACGACGACGTTTCGGTCCGTCCTGGACCTTTCGCAAGTCGATCTGTCGATCTGAAACTGTTATCAACAAAGAATCAGAACACGTTAACTCTTAATACCACAGATTTAGCACACTGTAACTCTCATCATCACAGAATATAACAATTTCCATAGAGTGATCACACTGTAATTAAAATCATCACAGAGTCAGAACACTGTAACTGCCATCACAATAGAGTACGAATACTGTAACTGTCATCACCACAGAGTCAGCACATTGTAACTGTCATCACCACAGAGTCAGCAAACTGTAACTATCATCACCACAGACTCAGCACACTCTAACTTTCATCACCACTGACTCAGCACACTTTAACTGTCTTCATCACAGACTCAGGCCACTCCACATGTCATCACCACAGAGTCAGCAAACTGTAACTTTCATCACCACAGAGTCAGCAAACTGTAACTCTCATCACCAAAGAGTCAGAACACAGTAACTGTGATCACCACAGACTCAGCACACTGAAACTATCTTCATAACATTCTCAGCACACTGTAAATGTCATCATCACAGAGTCAGCAAACTGAAAAAGTCATCACAACAGAGTCAGCACATTGTAACTGGCATCACCCCAGAGCTACATTATACCAGTCATCACCACAGAGTCACCAAACTGAAACTGTCATCAACAAAGAATCAGCACACGTTAACTCATAATACCACAGATTTAGCACACTGTAACTCTCATCACCACGGAATATAATAATGTAGATGTCATCACCAAAGAGTAAGCACACTGTCACTGACATCACAAAGTCAGCACACAGTAACTGTCATCACCACAGTCAACTTATTATAACTGTCATTACTACAGTCAACTTATTATAACTGTCATCACCACACATTCAGCACACTGTAACTCTTATGACCATAGAATATAATAATGTAACTGTCATCACCACACAGTCAGCGCATTGTAATTGAAATCGTCACAGTCAGAGCACTGTAACTGTCATTACCACAGCCAACATTTTATAACTGCCACAGACTCAGAACACTGTAATTGTAATAAGAACTGAGTACGAATACTATAACTGTCAACATCATAGAGTCAGCACACTGTAAATGTCAACACTACACAGTCAACACACTGTAACTGTCATCACCAAAGACTCAGCACTGTAATTGTCATCACCACACAATCAACATAATGTAATTGTCATCACCACAGAGTCAGCACACTGTAACTGTCATCACCACAGCAAACATAGTATAACTGTCATCACCACCGGTGATGCCGGGGAGCCGGTCGGCCGAGCGGACAGCACGCTGTACTTGTGATCCTGTGGTCCCGGGTTCGATCCCGGGCGTCGGCGAGAAACAATGGGAAGAGTTTCTTTCACCCTTTGCCCCTGTTACCTAGCAGTAAATAGGTACCTGAGTGTTAGTCAGCTGTCACGGGCTGCTTCCTGGTGGTGGAAGCCTGGTCGAGGACCGGGCCGTGGGGACACTAAAGCCCCGAAATCATCTCAAGATAACCTCAAGATAACCACAGAGACAGCACATTGTAACTCTCATCACTGCCAAGAAAGAATTCTCTGTCATCATCACAGAGTCTGCGCACTTTAACTGTCATCACCTCAGAGACAAAATGCTGTAACTATCATCACCATAGAGTCGGCACACTGTTACTGTTATCATCACATACTCAGCACACATTTTAAATGTCATCGCCATAGAATCAGCAAATTATAACAGTCATCACCACCGAGTTAGCACACTGTAACCGTCATTACCACAGAGTTATACTGTAACTCTGTGAAGATGTCATATTCACAGACTGAACATACTATACCTGTTATCACCACAGAGTTATCACACTGTAACTGTCATCACCACGAAAGAAAAATGCTCTAACGGTCAACATCACAGACTCAGCCCACTGTAACTGTCCTAATCACATAGTTAACACATCACCTCAGATTGAACATACAGTAACTGTCATCACCACAGAGTCGGCACACTGTTACTCTCGCCATCTCAGATTTGAACACACATTACCTGTCATCGCCATATATTCAGCACACTGTAACTCTCATCAACTCAATGCTATACTGTAATTGTCTACACCAAAGAATATGCTCACTGTAACTGTCATCACCACATAGTAAGAATATTGTAACTGTCATCACCACATAGTAAGAATATTGTAACTGTCATCACCACATAGTAAGAATATTGTAACTGTCATCACCACATAGTAAGAATATTGTAACTGTCATCACCACATAGTAAGAATATTGTAACTGTCATCATCATAGAGTAAGAATACTGTAACTGTCATCATCATAGAGTCTACATACTGTTATTATCATCATTACATAGTCAAAACATTGTAACTCTCATCACCACAGATTGAAAATATTGTAACTGTCATCACCACACACTCAGCACTCTGTAACTCTCATCACCACAAAGTTATACTGCAACTGTCATCACTACAGCCGGCCGGCCGAGCGGACAGCACGCTGGACACGTGATCCTGTAGTCCCGGGTTTGATCCCGGGCGCAGACGAGAAACGATAGGCAGAGTTCCTTTCACCCTATGCCCCTGTTACCTATCAGTAAATAGGTACCTGGGTCACAGGTACGTAACACCACAGAGTCAGCACACTGTCAGTCAGCTGTCACGTGCTGCTTCCTGGGCGTGGATGCCTGGTCGAGGACCGGGCCACGGGGAAACTAAAGCGCTGAAATCACTCAAGATAACTACAGAGTCAGCATACGGTAGCTGTCATCACCACGGAGTTAAGATGCTGTAACTATCATCACCACCATGGAGCTAAGATGCTGTATCTATCATCACCACAGAGGTGCCACACTGTAATTATGATCTTCACAGAGTCAGCACACTTTAATTGTCATCACAACAGAGTAAGTAAACTAAGTGTCATCACAACAGAGTACGAATAAAGTACCTGTCATCAGCACAGACTCAGCACACTGTATCTGTCATCATCATAGAGTTAGTTCACTGCAAATAACAATATCACAGAGTCAACACACTGAACTGTCAGCACAACAGCCAACATAATATAACTTTCATCACCACACTGTAATTATCATCACGAAGGAGTCAGCACACTGTAACTGTCAGCACCATAGACTCAGCGCACACTGTACGTGGCTTCGTCACATACTCAGCACAGTGTACATGTCATCACCACAGAGTCAGCACACGGTAACTCTCAGAACTGGAGAGTTATACTGTAACTGTCATCACCACTGGTCGGCCGAGCAGACAGCTCCACTGGGAGCCGGTCGGCCGAGCGGATAGCACGCTGTACTTGTGATCCGGTGGTCCCGGGTTCGATCCCGGGCGCCGGCGAGAAACAATGGGCAGAGTTTCTTTCACCCTATGCCCCTGTTACCTAGCAGTAAAATAGGTACCTGGGTGTTAGTCAGCTGTCACGGGCTGCTTCCTTGGGGTGGAGGCCTGGTCGAGGACCGGGCCGCGGGACACTAAAAGCCCCAAAATCATTTCAAGATAACCTCAAGATAACCACAGAGTCAGCACACTGTAACTGACATCATCAGAGAGTCATCTCTCTGATAATGACATCAACACAGCAAACATTTTATACCTGTCATCACCACAGGGTCAGCACACTGTAACTCTAGTCGACGCAGAATACAAATACAATAACGGTCATCATCACATTATCAACCCACTGAAACTGTCATAATCACAGATTGAAAATACTGTAACTGTCATCACCACAGAGGAGCACACTGTGACTGACATCATCAAAGAGTCAACGCCCTGTAACGGACATCACCACATAATCAGCAAACTTTAACTTTCATCACGAAAGAGTCAGCACAGTGTAACTGTCATCATCACAGACTCAGCACACTGTACCTGTCTTCGTCACATACTCAGCACACTGTACATGTTATCGTCATAGAGTCAGCACACTGTAACTGTCAGCACCACAGCCAACATACTATAACTGTCTTCACTAAAGAATAAGTGTAACTGTCATTATCAAACAATCCACCAACAGTAACTATCGTCACCACACATTCAGCACACTGTAACTGTCATCATCACAATGTTATACTATAACTGTCATCACCTACAGAGTTAGCATACTGTAACTCTCAACACCAAGGAGTTAAGATGCTGTAACTATCGTCACCACAGAGTCGCCACACTGAGACTTTCATCATCTCAGATTCAGGACACTATAACTTTCATCACCACAGAGTCAGCACACTTGAACTCTCATCACCATAGAGTAAGTAAACTGTAAGTGTCATCAT